GATGAAGCTGGGAACCATCATTCTCAGCAAACTACCACAAAATCAGAAAACCAAACACTGCATGTTATCACTCATAAGTGGGAGATGAACAATGAGAACACATGGACACAGGGAGGGGAACATCACACACCAGGACCTGTGGGGGGTCAGGGGCTAGGGGAGGTATAACATTAGGAGAAATACCTAATGTAGGTGACAGGTTGATGGGTGCAACAAACCACCATGGCACATGTATACCTATGTAACAAAACTGCACGTTCTGCACATGTAACCCAGAACTTAAAGTATAATAAAAAAAAAAAAAAGAAAGAAGAAGAAAAATATATTTTATAAAATTATGCAACCAATTCAGGAGGTTCAACATACGAGTCACAGAGGTTCTTAAAAGAAGACAGAGAACATGGAGCACAAGAGTACAACAAAAAAGTCAAGAGAATTTCCCAAGGGTAAGGGACACGAGGCTACACATTGGAAGGGTCCACTGAATGACAAGCATAATAATAGAACCATGCCAAGGCACAACATCAGGAAACTTCCAAACACTGGCAACAAAGGAAGATCCTATAAGCTTCCAGAGAGACAGAGAGAGAAAAGGAAAGGAGTCATATATAAAGAATAAGAAATCAGAATAGAGTGGATGTCTCAAACACTAGAAACTAGAAGTAGAAATGTCTTCAAAATTTATAGACAAACTATTGATCAAGCGTGAAGATAGTCTAAAAGCATTTATGCAAAGTCTGTAAAAAATTTATGTTTTGTGTCTTCCTTCCTAGCGAGCTACTAAAGGATGCTCTCCACCAAAACAAGGGAGTAAACCAAGTAAGAATAAGATGCATGATCTGGAAAAGACGAGATTCAATTCAATAAAGATGCAGAGAATCTCAGGATGTTGGTGACAATGAATGCGGGATGCATCAGGCACAGACCAAAGCAGGCAGAAAGCGTCTGGAGAGATCTCCAAAGAGACACAAGTGAGAACCTGAGTTTAGACAACAGAGAAGAATTCTGGAGATGAATCTTTAGGACAGATGAAAAACTTAGGGAAGTGAGCCAGGCATAGTGGCACACAGTAGTCCCAGCTACTCGGGAGGTTAAAGCAGGAGGTCTGGCTTGATGCCAGAAGTTTGAGACCAGCATAGGCAACACTGTGAGACCTCATTTAAAAAAAAAAACCCAAGGAAAGAAAAAAACAGATAATTATTAACTTCAGGTAAACCAAAAGGCTATGTGAGAAGAGAAAAGCAGCCGTGCTCTGTGACTGCAGAGCTCCACAGCACTCACCTGCTCACAGCCCAGGGACAATAGACACTCATCTCACTGGAACCATGATGCAGGGAGAGTGGAGTCATGGGAAGAACAGAAGTGTGGGTGTGATTTCAAGAGGGATAAGGAAGGGTTGTACAACAGAGCTGCGTCCTCAACGCTCACTGTGTTCTTTGGCAGAGGGCTTGGGTCTGGCAGGCCAGTGTCCGACCCTGGACTCAGCAGCCTGTATGAAGGGCATTTCAGTCCAGGCTTTGACATGCACTGCTGTTCAGACTCTGACACTGAAACGGTATCACAAAGAATGTGCATATTTGGGTCAGGCGCAGTGGCTCACACCTGTAATCCCAGCACTTTGGAAAGCTAATGGCAGGCAGATCACCTGAGGTCAGGAGTTTGAGACCAGCCTGGCTATCACGGCGAAACCCTATCTCTACTAAAAATACAAAAATGTTAGCTGGGCATGGTGGCGTGCGCCTGTAAACCCAGTTGCTCGGGAGGCTGAGGCAGGAGAATCACTTGAATCCGAGAGGCGGAGGTTGCAGTGAGCTGAGATTATACCACTGCACTCCAGCCTGGGCTACAGAGCGAGACTTTATCTCAAAAAAAAAAAAAAAAAAAAGGAAGAAAGAAAGAAAGAAAAAAAGAATGGGTGTTATTTGGAGAATTTTCCTTCTTCAATCAGTGGGCAGTACAAAGTAGGCTGATGTTAAAATGTTCAAAGGAAGACAACAGAAGAATAAAGAATGAATATCACAGTAGGCTTGAGGGACATAGAAGATGGAAAGACAAAGAACTGCAGAGAGAGCTCCAGGGTACACTAAATATCAGATTTGATGTGAGTGGCAAGCAGGCACCACTTCACCCTCCTATGCCCCGGACGTCTTAACCAGTCATGAAAGTACTCCCCGCAGCACATATGGCTGCACTGTCAAAGTCCAAAATCCTCCTGAAAATAATTCTGCGAGAGTCACCACACAGAGTTGAGACTCACCCACCACCCAGCATATTTCCACGGGCTGGGCAGAAGCTGGCACCAGCTTAGAAACACGGTATCAGCCCAATCCACGCTGCCTTGCCACCCCAAGAAGCCCTTAGCAGAACACAGCAGTTTCTCTTGGACACCTAAAGATTAAGAGAGAGAATTTCGCTAGGGGAGCCCTTAAACCTGGGTGTGGGCCCCACCACTCCCTCTGCTACCCAAGTATCCAGGATTCCCAAGGGTATGGTGGTATGTGATCCTGGAATGGGGCAGACTGAATCTGGGGTGACCTCTTCCAGAATGTACTGTAACTGGGGGGTTTCCAAATGAGTTATATGAAGGAACAGGCCCAAGGATAAAGAAGCACAACTGCTTGCTGGTACTTACAGGCTTGAGCAATTCCATCATCGAGACAAAAAGACAGGAAAAGAAAACCACAGGTGTCACACAGAGGAGGGTAGTGGGACACCTGGCCTCTGGCAATGAGCTAAGGTCCCTGTGCCCCTCTGCCCACATCATGACAGTTGTTATCATAGTACCAAGTGAGGTTTGGGGATGCGGCAATGCGGGTCCCTGACTGGCCATCCTTAAGGAAAGGGTCCCTTTCCTCCAGGCTGCCTTCGCTATCTAGCCAGAAATGACAGCACGGGGTTCCCCAGGCTTTGGACACAGTGTAGCCAATGCAGGACCTCTGCTCAGTCAAGGGGGAGGGTCCCAGGATCAGCAGGTCATCCCCATGTCCCTAAGGAACTCAAAGCCTTCTTTGCTGTTTAATCTTGAACTACCTCAAAGTTCCCTGAAATCCACAGGAGACTGACAGGATAACTGATGTTGTTTAATCAGTGGGTTATAAGTAAAGGGCATTTTAGCAGAACAGGAGACAAGACAGAACTTTTTTTTTTTTTTTTTTTGAGACGGAGTCTGGCTCTGTCGCCCGGGCTGGAGTGCAGTGGCCGGATCTCAGCTCACTGCAAGCTCCACCCCCTGGGTTTACGCCATTCTCCTGCCTCAGCCTCCCAAGTAGCTGGGACTACAGGCGCCCGCCGCCTCGCCCGGCTAGTTTTTTGAATTTTTTAGTAGAGACGGGGTTTCACCGTGTTCACCAGGATGGTCTCGATCTCCTGACCTCGTGATCCGCCCGTCTCAGCCTCCCAAAGTGCTGGGATTACAGGCTTGAGCCACCGCGCCCGGCCAAGACAGAACTTTTTAATATGAAAATAAAAGGGAACAGAATATTTCAGGGTCATCTAGGCGCAGTGGTTCATGCCTGTAATTCTAGCACTTTGGGAGGCCAAGGCAGGCAGATCACCTGAGGTCATGAGTTCGAGACCAGCCTGGCCAACACGGCAAAACCCCATCTCTACTAAAAATAAAAAAATTAGCTGGACATGGTGGCAGATGCCTGTAATTCCAGCTACTTAGGAGGCTGAGGCAACAAAATCACTTGAACCCAGGAGGTGGACGTTACAGTGAGCCAAGATTGCGTCATTGCACTCTCGCCTAAGTGACAGAGCAAGATTCCGTCTCCAATTAAAAAAATAAAATAAATAAATAATGAAAAAAAGAATATTCCAGGGTTAATTTGCCTGGTTATAATTTAAAATAATAAAAGAAAGAAATAAGCTGCATGGATAATGCAAGGTCTTCTGTTCCAAGGAAAATAACCACTGTGACAGCAAAACCTTTGGGTATTAGGGCTGAGGTTGCCCTGGGAGGGGGGTGTCAGTCAGGTGCATCAACAGCCATCCCCAACTCTGTGGGCTCATGGAAGCTTTCAAAGCCTCACCCTTGAAATACTGGGTGGTGTCCTGCGGGGTAAGAAGCCCTGGCAGGCCATCAGCATGGCCTCTGGGAAGCTGGGAAGCCCACATGGCAGCAGAGTCCACACCCTGGCTCCAACCCCCAGGCCAACCAGCGGAAACAGCAGGACCTCCCCACCTCTGACCTGTCTCACACTCTGTCACTCTGGGAGTTCCAGGGCAGCTACAGTTACTTGGAATGTAAAATTAGGCCAATATGGTAAAAAGTATAAAAATGGCATGAGGCTGGGAGCTGTGGTCACGCCTGCAATCCCAGCACTTTGAAAGGCAGAGGCGGGAGAATTATTTGAGACCAGGAGTTTGAGACCAGCCTGGGTAACATAGCGAGAACCCTGTCCTACCAAAAATACATATATGCCAGGTATGGTAGTGCATGCCTGTGGTCGCAGCTACTTGGGAGGCTGAGGTTGGAGGATCACTTGAGCCCAGGAGGTCGAAGCTGCAGTGAGCTGTGACTGCACCACGGCACTCCAGCCTGAATAACAGAGGAAGACCTTGTCTCAAAACAAAAATTGGTATGTAAATATTTTGTAGATTACACAAGTATAAAATCAAGGCAAACTGCTCAGTTTCTCTGGCAGTATTGCCTCAGAGAACTGGGAAGAAAGCAAAGACCAACCCACAGAATATCAACAGACCCAAAAGATCAACTGTATCTAATTCCATTTGTGACACTGTTCACTTTACCAAGAGAATCCAGAAGGCGAGGTAGAAAATGACTACTTACACTGGAACAAAGCTTTAAACAGAAAAATGTGCCCAAGTGGATAGAAAAGAAAAACCTAACCTCAGACCCTACAGGAGATGCACTGTACATTTATTTTTTGATGGGAATACAGGTTTGAAATTAGTAATAAAATGTGTAGATTTCTCTTGTTTATAATTTTATTATAATTATTTCAATACACAATTCAGGCCAAGGAAAAAATTCTTACTTCACACAGCTATTCTTCTCATCATATTCTTTCTTCTCAGCCAATCTAAGAGGTTTCTCATTTGGCTTCTGACTTAAAGCACTAGAAATGAAAAAAAAAAAAAAAATTCATTAAAATTTGTGAACAGCAGCCTGGGCAACATAGTGAGTCCCCATCTCTACAAAAATAAAAAATAAAAAACACCGGGCACAGTGGTATGCGCCTATGGCACCAGCAACTCCGGAGGCCAAGGTGGGAGGATTGCTTAAGCTTAAGAGTTGGACGCTGCAGTGCGCTGTGATTGTGCCACTGTACTCCAGCCTGGGCAACAAGAGCAAGACCCTGTCTCTTAAAAAAATGAAAAATTGGCCAGGCGCAGTGGCTCACGCCTGTAATCCCAGCACTTTGGGAGGCCAAGGCAGGAGGATTGCAAGGTCAGAAGATCAAGACCATCCTGGCTAACATGGTGAAACCCCATCTCTACTAAAAATACAAAAAATTAGCCGGGTGTGGTGGCAGGCACCTGTAGTACCAGCTACTCGGGAGGCTGAGACAGGAGAATGGCATGAACCCAGAAGGCGGAGGTTGCAGTGAGCCAAGATCACTCCACTGCACTCCAGCCTGGGCGACAGAGTGAGACTCCATCTCAAAAAAAAGAAAAAAGAAAAATTGTGAACTCCTTTATCCCAATCCTGAAAATATCTTTATTTTCTGGATTACAAATTTAAGAAGCACCACTTAGGAATTGGTTTATCTACATAAGCACATTTCTGTGAGAACCGGAGCTTAGTTCTTTAAGTATAAAAGTCACTTCTGACACTTTTGGTGCTGGTGCTGGATAGGATGGAGTAGGCCTGCCAAAGCCTCTCTCTCCTGCTGATCACAACTAGAGATTCTGGATGAGGCCCCAACAGCCGGGGAGAGAAGTCGAACACCTGAAAAACACAGTCAGCAGGACTTTCTTCGTTTTTCTTCTCTCTGTGTCTCTCTGTGTTGACCTCAGGATGACTATGTGGCAGATGCAGACACAAGAACTCCAGGAGAAACCCCCTCTTTCAAGCCAGGGAAGTGGGAAGAGGCGTCCTTTAAACCAGAAAGTGTGGGGAATCCCCATTGTTTTTCTTTTCTTTCCTCGCCAGGCCGGAAGGCCAGCTCTGATCCTGGAGCTGCACTCAGCAACAGCAACAGCAGTGTGGTGACCTTGAGCCCTGAGAGAAAACCCGCACCTGAAGCCAGAGGAACTGGGAGATGGGAGCTGTGGTCCAAAGACTGTGTGAGGAAAATTTCCATCTTTTTTCTCCCTTATTTGTTTTATTCTCAAGGTATCCCAATCCCACATTACTGCACACCAATGTCTCCAAGAGAAACTATCTGGCTAGAGGAACACGGGGAAGGAGCCCCTAGAAATTGGTAACTGTGAGGGAAATTCTGAAAAGAGAGAGAGCTGGTTCATGACCCAACACAAGCCCCTGACTCGCCCCAAGCTATGCAGATGCAGAACAGTCCCCAAGCAGCATCGAGGGCCCAGAGCCTGAGATCACATGGCCACCACCATCCACAGATAACAAGGCAGAACATGAGGGCCGGACCCCATGGAAGTACCGACCTCCTGTGAAGACAAACGACACCAACCAATGCTCTCTAGAGAATGTGAACAGAAACCAGAGTCTCACAACATGACACTCAAAATATCCAGAGTAAGTCCAAAGTTACTCAGCACACACGGGCCCAGGAAACCGGATCGACTGCCAAGGGAAACGACAATCAGCAAGTGCCAACCCACGGTGGCTCGGGGTGGCAATCATCAGACACTCACTCCGCAAGAAGAAAAGGTCAGCACTTCCAAGTGGAAACACACAAGTTCTCAGCAAAGAAATATAAACTTTTGAAAAAAAAAACAAGGAACATTTTAGAAATAAGAAATATAGGCCAAGTACAGTGGCTCACACCTGTAATCCTAATATTTTGGTAGGCCGAGGCAGGAGCATCAGTTGGTCTCAGGAGTTGGAGACCAGCCAGGGCAGCATAGCGAGACCCCCACCTCTACAAAAAATTAAAATGTTAGCCAGCTGTGGTTGTGTATGCCTGTAGTCCCAGCTACTTGGGAGGCTGGGGCAGGAGGATCGCTTAAGCCCAGGAGTTTAAGGCTATAGTGAACTATGATTGCTCCACTGCACTTGAGAGCCTGGGTAACAGAGCAAGACCCTGTCTCAAAAAAATATAGATATAATAAATAGAATACTCATAGGACGGGCTCAATAGCAGAATGTGGATAACAGAAGAGAATGAACGTACAGACAGATCAGTAGAATCATTAATCTGCAGAGTAGCAAGATTGAAAGGCTGAAAAAATGCACAGAGCCTCAGGGACTTTTTGGACAATATCAAAGTATCTGACATTTATTTCATCACAGTCTCTAAAACGAGAGGAAAAAGAGAAGGGTGCAGAAAAAGTATTTGTAGACATAATGACTATTTGATGTAAGAAAGATACAAAAGAAGAACATTAACAAACCCCAAGCATAAGAAATATGGTAGCAACGACGGCAAGGTATATCACAATTTTTTTTTTTTTTTTGAGATGAGTCTTGCTCTGTCACCCAGGCTGGAGTGCAGTGGTGTGATCTCAGCTCACTACAAACCCCACCTCCTGGGTTCAAGCGATCATCACGCCTCTGCCTCCTGAGTAGCTGGGATTACAGGCACCCACCACCAACCCCAGCTAACTTGTTTGTATTTTTAGTAGAGACGGGGTTTCACCATGTTGGCCAGGCTGGTCTTGAACTCCTGACCTCAGGTGATCTGCCCACCTTGGCCTCCCAAAGTGCTAGGAATACAGGCGTGAGCCACCATGCCTGGCCAGTATATTATAAGTAAATTGCTAAAACCAGTAATCAAGAGAAAATCTGAAAAGCAGTCAGAGGAAACGTCAGAGGAACAAAGGCACCGGTGACAGCAGAGGCGGTGCTGGGAACAACGCAAGAGAGAAGACAGTGGGGCAACATCTTTACATAAAGTGCTGTCGACCTAGAATTCTACACCTAGCAAAGGTATCCTTTTCAAAATGAACCTAAAATGAATACTTAAAAAGAAAAGCTGAAAGAGTTCATCAACAGCAGACCTTCAATGCAAGAAATATTAAAGGAAGCCCTTTAGGTAGAAGGAAAATAATACCAGATGGAAATAGAGATCTACACCAAAGTAAAAAACACCAATGCAACCACGTAGGTAAAGACAGAAGATATTTTTGTTAGTTAACTCTCTCTAGAATATAATTGACTATTTAAATAAAAGTGAGATAGAGTCTAGCATTTATGATACATGTAAAAGTATAACATATGACAACCACAGCATAAAGTCCATGAGGGGAAGTGTGAAAGTCTACTATTTTGAGTTCTTAGACCATTCATGAGGTGGTACAATATTACATCCTTTCTGCAATTTCATTAATGTCACTGACATGTATCTTGAAGAGGACAAAGTAAAGACCTAGCCTCTCATACTCACAAAACCGTCCTTCTCTTTCCGCCCCGGGTAACCACCCACCCTGTGCTGCCATCTGGCCACGTGAGGCCATCCCTCCCATCAGGACCACTCGGTGCCAATCTTCAGACCTGCCTTACCGAGACAACTCTGTCCAACAAGGCAAAGAGGAGAAGACTCTAGGGCCACTACCAGTTTTCAGTCAACTTTGCTGTCAACCGGGTGTCACATTTTTCCTTTAAATTAATATGTTTAACCAAAATTTCCTGGGCCACTCTTTGAAAATGAACTATTTTCCCATCATCCATTTTATAGAACACTGTATAAGACAATATCACCCTAAGTCTTTTGTCAATTACACCGAATTATTATTATTATTATTTTAGAGATACAGTCTCACTCTGTTACCCAGGCTGGAGTGCAGTGGTACAATCACAGCTCACTGAAGCCTGAACCTCCTGGGCTTAAGCGGTTCCCCCAGCTCAGCCTCCTCAACAGCTGGGACTACAGGCAAGCGCCACCACATCCAGTTTGAATTTTCAAATCATACCTTCCTTCTGGTACATCTGGATCAGCATATATGGTTATGCCTCTTTTTGTTGGCCAGTACGCTGAAGATTCAACACACTGTAAAAGAAAAACTTCTTTCAGAAAGAATGTATATGCTAGCAACATAATACACATTCTTTTAGAACCAAAATTCCATGGGAGTTATTCTCATGAACAACCATCCCAGACAGCTTTCATGCACACACAGACATGGAGAGACAAAAAACTGGAAAGTTGGGTGATTATGCCATTGCTATACTACATTAAACATCCAAATGGCAGGGCATTCCAGATCATCAGTATTTAAAATACCCTGCAATCACTTTCACCTGTCTTGTCAAAGGGACAGAGAGCAGATTAGACTTGCACTTCACTATGACAGTGCCCTGGAATCCCAGATTTTCACACCTTCGTTAAAAGGAGGATGAATATCCAATTTTGTAGAAAGGAAAGTAGGCCGAGAACAAGAGCTTGACATGAAGAAGTTGGAGCTACTTTCTCCTTTCAAAATAAGCAAACTATAGGAAACTATCATGGCCAACGATTTTTTTAATAGAAAACATATTTTTGGTTTCAGATAGATTCGAAAGAGAAAATTTGAAAATTAATGCTATATGAACTCTGCATTGAAAGAACATTTTTAAAATACAACCTTATTTGTATCTTTTAAAGAGATGCAATGGTGTTTCTTTTCAGATTTGTTTTTAGGTGAATCTCTCAATGAATCCATATTACATTTTACAGCTTTGTCTGCAAAATAAAAATGGTAATAAGAAAGCTACACCAAAAAGTGATATTAATAGAAAACAGGATAAAAAGGAATATAATAAAAGCAAATACCATTATAAAATCTTAATATGTGAAATTTTTATGGAATATGAATTTGTAGTAAACCTTACTTGAGGGGATTAAATTTTAAAATCTTGTCTCAACCTTTATGTAAAAACAATTAAAATGTTCTAACAATTCCCATACCAGCTGACTAATAATGGAACACAACAGTATTTTCCCAATTTGTCAGATGACATTTCCCTCAGAAGACCATGGCAACATCTCCCAACACACAGGCTCTTCTCACAACGTGACTCTGCCTCCTGCCAAGAGGTGGGCTCTGTGTTCCTTTCCTGTGAACCTGGGTGAGCTCATAACCAACATGGAAGTGGTGCTGTGTGACTTCTAAAGCGATGTTACCAAAAGGCCGCATACTTGGGATCTGCCGTCTTGGAAGCTCACATTTGAAGCCCAGCCATGACACTGTGGGAAAGCAGCCACATGGAAAGACTGCTAGCGTATTTCGGATGACAGCCCCAGCTGAGGTCCCAGCCAAAAGCCAGCATCAACCGCCAGAAGGTGCCTGAGTCCGCAGACCACTGCCCCTGCTTAGTTACCGCCAGCCCTCACATCTCCCTGTCTGAGGCCCAGGACAGGGTGGAACAAAGGCAAACCCTCCTGCCATACCCATTCTGAATTCCTGACCACAGAACCCGTGAGTGTTATAAAATGGCTGTTGTTTTACCCAGCAATCATGTATTAGGGAAATACAGAGGCATTCTAGAAAAGTGTCCTACTATTAATAAAAGAAACACAAATTGAAATGACAAGAGACACCTTTCACCTATTAAATAAGTCATTGAAATACGCAGCAGCACTAGAAATGTGAAATGATATAATAAATTGCCCTAACCCTTCTTTAAAGTAATTTGGAACCCAAGTCTGCATGTCATGTGGTCTTCCGGTTTGGAATTACATTATCAGGGTACAACCTTTTAGCCAAAAAGATAAACTCTGGAACCAGGAATGGAGGCGGTAGTTAAAATTCGCCAAGAGAGAAACGTTCATACAAGACCAGCTCTATCATAAAGAGTAAAAAAAAAAAAAGAAAAAAAAAAGGAGATTGGGAAAGAAATATTCACATCTGACGATATGAAGATAAAACATCTGTCTGAAAAGGACTTTTCAAATAAACTTAATTAAAATATCCAAGAAATAAAAGAAGTATTTATGAAACCAAAGAGGCCAAGTGCAGTGGCATGCCTGTAATCCCAGCACCTTGGGAGGCCGAGGTAGGTGATCATTTGAGCTCAGGAGTTCAAGACTAGCCTGCTGAACATGGTGAAACCCTGTCTCTGCTAAAAATATGAAAGTTATTCAGGCGTGGAGACACACACCTGTAGTCCCAGCTACTTGGGAGACTGAGGCAGGAGAATCACTTGAACCTGGGAAGCAGAGGCTGCAGTGAACTGAGACTGCACCACTGCACTCCAGCCTGGGTGACAGAGTGAGACTCCATCTCAAAAAATATAAATAAATAAATAAATAAATAAATAAATAACCTAGCACTCCTTCCCCTTTCTCTCTTCCTCTCTTGCAGGTGATGTGCAGCTCCTGTTCCCCTTCTGCCATGATTGGAAGCTTCCTGAGGCCTCACCATAAGCAGATGTCAGCTCTATGCTTCTTATACAGCTTGCGCAACTGTGAGCCAAATAAACCTCTTTTCTTGCTAAATTATTCAGTCTCAGGTATTCCTTTACAGCAACGTGAACAAAGACACTCCCCTACTAGAAGAACTACAAAGTATATACTTGGGGAGGGAGAAAAATAAACCAGTAGTACGATAATATTAATTATATAATCAACATCTACTTAGTATTTATATCAAGAACTATTCTAAATGCTTTATATGAATTGATTCAATTCTATGTGATAGGTACCATGTACTTTATTGAATTCCATGTGATTTCTCGATGGGCACAATTATTTCCCCCTTTTCAGATTAGGAAAAGCAAGCACAGAAAGGTGAAATAACATGCCCATGTTTATTCAGCTAGTAAATAACAGATCTGGGATTTGAACCCAAGCAATTCCACTCCAAAGAACTTAAAGAAAAACTGAGTGCAAAATGTATTTACAAAAGAACAAGTTAAATTAAAATTCTAGAAATTAAGAACAGAAATGAAAAGAGGAGTTTAGAAAAGAAAAGGTGACATTATTGATGTGAGGACAGACAATGATTACCTTGAAACTTCATTAGAAAGTATAAGTACACAGAAAATTTAAGACTAAGAGAAATGAAATGCAATATCTATAAGAGTAAAAAGGAAGGGGGGGAAGTGGTCAATTCAAGAGGAGGCAGAAAATAACAAAGAAAATAGAAAGAAAAATTATGGTCAACAGAAAATACAAAATGAGGCCAGGTGTGGTGGCTCACGCTTGTAATTCCTACACTTTGGGAGCCCAAGGCAGGTGGATCACTTGAGGTCAGGAGTTCAAGACTAGCCTGGCCAACATGGCGAAACCCTGTCTCTACTAAAAATACAAAAATTAGCTAGGCAAGGTGTGCGTGCCTTTAATCCCAGCTACTTGGGACACTGAGGTGGAAGAATCGCTGGAAGCTGGGAGGCAGAGGCTGTAGTCAGCCATGATCTCACTGCCCGCAGTGAGCCACTGCATTCCAGCCTGGGTGACAGAGTGAGACTCTGTCTAAAAAAAAAAAAAAACCCCCACAAAATGAGACAATGAAAAGACGTCCAAATATACATTAAATCACAATAAGGCTGGGCACAGTGGCTCATGCCTGTAATCCCAGCACTTTGGGAGGCTGAGGCAGGTGAAATCACCTGAGGTAGGGAGTTCAAGACCAGCCTGACCAGCAACATGCAGAAACCCCGTCTCTACTAAAAATACAAAATTAGCCAGGCATGGTGGCACACGCCTGTAATCCCAGCTACTCGGGAGGCTGAGGCAAAGAATCACTTGAATCTGGGAGGCAGAGGTTGCTGTGAGCCGAGATCAGGCCACAGCACTCTAGCCTGGGCAAAGAGAGCAAAACTCTGTCTGGAAAAAAAAAAAAAAAATCACAATAAATGTATGTGACTTGTCAAAGAATCATAAGTGGCTCTCATAATAAGGGAAATGCAAATGGAAACTCATGTAAGATACTATTTCTCATTGCAAACTGAAAAAGATCCAAAAACTTGAAACTCTCTGCTGGTGAGGCGTGGGCAAACATGCAGTCTCCTAGATTCCCATGAGACTCCCAGATGATACAGTACCCACAGTATCTGGCAACAGAGATAAAACCATTCTTTGACCAGAAACCCCTCTGCCAGGAATCTACCTTGAAGATGTAGCTCCACAAATACAAAATAATACATACTGGAAAAACTGGATGCCCACATGGAAAAAACAAAACCAAATCCTGACCCTTACCTCACATCGCTAACCTGAAATGGATCCTAGAATTAAATGTAAAAGCCAAAACTAGAAAACATAGAGAAAGCAAAGTTTTCTTAAATAGGACATAAAATCCTAAAACAAAAAGAAGTGATTAGCTAGACTTCATCAAAAATCAAAAACTTCTCCTCTGAAAAATACCATTAAGAAAATGAAAAGCCACAGACTAGAAGGAAATTTATTTATAATACAAACGACATCTCCAGAATATATTTTAAAAACTCAGCCAGGCACAGTGGCTTGCACCTATAATCCCAGCACTTTGGGAGGCCGAGGCAGGAGGACTGCTTGAGGCCAGGAGTTTGAGACCAGCCTGGCCAGCATAGGGAAACTCTGTCTCATTAAAAAATAAAATAAAGAACAATAACTCTCAAAATTTATTCTAAGAAAACCTAAGTTTTAAAACATGTAAACAGGAATTTCACAAAGAACAGACAAATTGCCAACAGGAACATGAAAACATGTGCAGTGTCATAAGTAATGAGGAAAGTGATCTGCAATCCAGAAGGCCACCCCTGCCATTCCAATGAGAGTAACAGGTCTCAAGAGTTGAGAAACAGCACCCACATACCCTGCCCTTAGGGTATGGATGCGCTCCATCCAAGCAAAGTAAGCCAAAGAAAGGCCTCAGTGCATAGTGGCTCACGCCTGTAATCCCAGCACTTTGGAAGGCGGGCAGATTACCTGAGGTCAGGAGTTTGAGACCAGCTTGACCAACATTATGAAAACCTGTCTCTAAATAAATTTTGAAAATTAGCCAGGCATGGTGGTGTGTGCCTAGTCCCTACAACTCGGTAGTCTGAGGTGTTTGAGGATGCAGTGAGCCATGATCACACCACTGCACTCCAGCTTGGGCAACAGTGCGACATCCTGTCTCTGGAAAAAAAAAAAAAAAAGAATAAAGACCACCAAAAATGATAAATATGAAGGTAAATATAAAAACATATATTCTTATCTTAAAAATCTCTTTAAAATAGAATTAAAATTTAAAGGGACACACAAAATCTGTGGTCTCTGTGCTGGGGAGTGTGGCAGGGTCTGCTGGTTATCCTGGAATATCATTCAGTCCTTGCTTCAGATCAGGGTCAGCAAACTCCTTCTGCAAAGCGCCAGCTGCGGGCTTTGTGGGACAGGTGGCCTGGGGCGCAACCACTCAACTCAGCTGCAACAGCGCAAAAGCAGCTGTATAAAATATGTAAGCAAATGAGTCTGGCTATGTTCAGTAAACTTTATTTGTAACTACTGAGATTACAATTTCACATAATTTTAATGCATCACAAAATATTCTTTCTCTTATGATTTTTTCAACTATTTAAAAATGGAAAAATCATTTTTAGCTTACAGGTTGTACAAAAATAGGTAGCAGGCCAGATATGGCCCATGCCTGCAGTTTTCTAATTCTGAGGTAACAGAACCCCTGATTTTTAGTGGGAGCCTGGCAATCCAAAAGAAGGACAACCTCTCCCAGAGCTTCATCCCCCACTAAGCATGGCTGCCCAAGAACATTCTGGCCAAAG